TTGTCTACAGTATACTTTTAGAAAGTGTTAGGTGTTCACTGATGCATTCTAACACCACACCTTTACATCCTACTTTAGACAAAGCCTAGAAGAGAGTTTTCATGGAGCTACCAATTCCCCTTCCTGAAACAAAATGGTAGTGCTGCTGAAAAAGGCATCCACTGTCACCCCTTTGTGTCAGTCGACTCTAAATTCAAATCTCATACTCTGCTGTCATAGATACCCTCTCTTATTCTCAGCCTCTCAGACCCCTGTATTTAATTCCAGCATCAAATTTTCTAATGGCAAATACTCTGTTGTCACCTTAGAGTAGACAGCAAGCAAGGTTGCTTCATGTGCTTCAATCAAATCTACTAGATTTTAGAGTGATTGTATTTTCCAGGCACCAAACTGGACTAAGTAGCCACTCTGACTATAACGGAGTTTTACTTCTCCTCTTTTTCAATTTTACTCTGTTCTGTTATCAGCGACACCAGCTGTACGCTTTTTTCGAGGGGGGTGGAAACACCATTTTTTGCTTCAGTCATTTTCTTGCTGTCCTGTTCCAAGCATTCCAAATCATCTCTTCCAGCGGGAGATCATCCCCCGACTGGCTGATAGCCAATTTTTTTTATTTTGTTTTGTTGGTGGAAATTCAGCACAACATAGAGAGGGGAGCAGATTAACAGCAGTAGAGAAATAATGTTAAATAGCCAGTGAGATAACAAGCCTGATCCTACAAGCTACTAAGCACTCCCAATTCCCTCTGAATTCGGGTTATACCAAAAAGTCAGTCTATTGAAGTCAATGGGAATTGAGGGTACTCAGTATCTCACAGAATCAAGTTTAAAATTCTTGCCTATATCTGGTAAGGGTTTGAATTAGTGGAGCATCTGATCACTTTACTCTCTCTATGGTGATCATCAATGTTATACTTTAAGCACAACCAAACTGTTGTCCATTCTAGCAGACAGAACTTGCACCTTCTTTCATGTTCAATCAGCGCTGGATTTCTTCTGACCTAACTCTACCTAACCATAGCATACATACACATACATTACTACTCCTGGAGGAATTCTGTGCCACTGCGCAATGCAGAATTTGTGCAGAAATTAATGTTGTGTGCGCAGAATTTCCTTCCCACCGCCACACCCCCAGAAATGGCCTGCAGAGCTGCTGGCTGCCACTAGGGGCTGCTGGAGCCCAGCTCGCACATAGAAGACACTGCCAGGGGAGAGAACTGGACGGTTGGCAGCAGCTGCAGTTCCTCGCACACCCTGAAGGAAGGAGGCGGCATGCAGGAAACTCCACACAAGCCCAGAATCGAGCATCAGGCTGTTTCTGCCTCCGGATCCCTGGGGTCTGGGGGTTTGTGGGGGCGTATCCCGCAGCTGGCCTCTGGAGGGGAGGGGACAGAGAAACAGCAACTGTGTTGTCATATGGGTTTCTTTAACTTTCTGTTCCTGGGGGAATTTTTTGTGTGTCTGTATTGTTTACAGACATACTTGCTGACAGGTATTTTGAAATAAATTATCAAAATAATTGAAATGGCATGATTATATAGTGTTATTTTGACAAATAAACTATTCAAATGTTGCAGAATTTTAAAATATCGTACACAGAATTTTTAATTTTTTGATGCAGAATTTTAAATTTTTCACACAGAATTCCCCCAGGAGTAACATTATAAATATCAATCATAAGGAAGTTATTAACAGCAATGAACAAATTTGAACTTGCAGCTGTAGACTGAAAACAAATGCAACTTGTAGGGAAAAAACAGGTTTACCAAGAAAAGTAAGTTAATAAAATATGTATCTCTGCTTGGCTGAATCATGATTTTTCATGTTAAGATTATTTGAAACAACAAAAATGAATCACGTCATTAGACAGGGCTATATCATTATCAGTTCTGCATTGGGTTAGTCTCAAATTACACTGAAGGTCTATTTCAAATTAAGTTCAATTAAACTTAGAGCCACTGATACATCATTTGCCTTCCCTACTGGATTGAATTCATAAAGCATTTTTACATTATAGTAACATGATACATCTGTAAAATTTCCATACTTATCTGGGCTTTTGTACTTGCTTTGTTAATGATGGCTGAAAACCCATTTCAGCTACTCCCAAGCCTTTCAACAGAACATACTAAATTAAACTCAAGAGAATAATTAGAGCCCTGGATCTTACAACCTATGATATAATCCCTCTTGTTTTAGAAGCTGTTTCTGTAATACTTAAAAACAAGCTACTGACTCATCCTTACCTTTGATAATGTTTTTGCACATCATGTGATCTACTGATGGATGACAAGTTTAACTGAACTTCTAATTATTTTCTTACCCAGTTCTTCATCTGTCAAACTTTTTTCCTTCTATTCCCCCACTGCATATTTCACACCAAAAGCCTGCTTTTTTACTATTTCACGTTGGGATACGCAAACAGACACTGATACTAAGCAATTATGACATGCATTTCCCACAGTCCTTATTGCATGAATGTTACAAACATACCACGCAGTCTACCACTGTTTCATTCAACTCATTTTTTTATAGCATTTTGGCTGCCTGTTGTGCATAAAAAAAGAAGATGGAAAACAGAGGTGAATTAAAGAAAAATTGAGAGGTAACACTACTGTCAAGAGTGATGACAACTAGAAAACTATCCTGATTACATTGGAAAACAAAATCCTATTCTCATCTGGCAAGCATTCTTTTGCCTTTAGATGAGGAGTCAAAACTAGTCCCATTAGCAGCTCTGAACTCTGATATAGAAATCAGGGGCAACAGTTGTTAAAAATGCAAAACAAAAGTTCAAAGTTAGGGGAATACTTGAAAATGTGTTATGAAAACTACCATGCAATGGAAAAATGTCCTGAAATTATTTTCCTGTTTATAAATAGCAAAAGCAATTCAGTGTTTATGGACAAAAACAGAAAACCGCAAAAAATACATAGCAAAGTAATTGGCCAGTTCCTCAGCTATGTAGGTCCACTGAAGTCATAGTATTTCGTGAAGTTTAACTATGATTTTTCTAGTGTAAAATGCATACAGGACAAAGGTGATATTCATCCACCACACAACCACTTTTTGCACCGAGTAAGGAAGCTGTATTACACTATCTACAGACCCAATCCTGCAAAACTTTATTCACCCAAATCGTCTCAATTGCCTAAATAACTATGCACACAAGTAAAAGCAACTCATTTATGTAAGGATCTTACAAACCTAATTTAGCAAATGCCTACATAAATGTAATGGTCAGGCCACGTCTAATCTAGCCAGAGAAACTCTGCTATCACCTTGCTAATAAGAGCTATAGGTTGTTTTTTTGAGACTACACAGTTTTGCAGAAGGCATTGCTAACATGGCTTCCATGCTCAGTGGAGACTAGGCTACAATGCATTCTATAGTTACCAAAATCTTGACAGAAAAAGAACTGAACAACTACATTTAGGGGACAAATGCTGTAGTTTTTATTCAGGCAAAAACTTCCTTTAAAGGACTAAGGAGGGTAGATAAAAATTAGGGCTATTAAACTGTGATTAATCACAGTTAACTCATGTGAGTATTCAGAACACTTCAAATATACTGATTTCAATTACAACACAGAATGCAAAGTGCACAGTGCTCACTTTATTATTGTTGTTTACAAATATTTACACTGTAAAAATTATAAACAAAAGTAACAGTATTTTTCAATTCATCTCATACAAGTACTGTAGTGCAATCTCTTTATTGTGAAAGTGCAATTTACAAATGCCAATTTTTTTATTACATAATTGCACTCAAAAAACAAACCAATGTAAAATTTTAGAGTCTTCAAGTACACTCAGTCCTACTTCTTGTTCAGCCAGTCGCTAAGAGAAACAAGTTTATTTACATTTACGGGAGATAATGCTGCCCTCACTTTCTGGTAACATTGTAAATAAGAAGCGAACAGGCATTTGCATGGCACTTTTGTAGGCTGCATTGCAAGATATTTATGTGCCAGATATGCTAAACATTCATATACCCCTTTGTGCTTCGGTCACCATTCCAGAAGACATGCTTCCAAGCTGATGACGCTCGTTAAAAAAATAAGGTGTTAATTAAATTTGTGACTGAACTCCTTCGGGGGAAACTGTACATCTCCTGCTCTGTTTTACCGGCATTCTGCCATGTATTTCATGTTATTGGAGTCTCGAATGATGACCCAGCACATGTTCGTTTTAAGAACACCTTCACAGCAGGTTTGACAAAATGCAAAGAAGATACCAATGTGAAATTTCTAAAGATAGCTACAGCACTCGACCCAAGATTTAAGATAGGTTTATTTAATTAAAAAAATTAAAATGCCATTTCTGCATTTTAATTGAATTTGAATTTCCATCCAAATAGAGCTGGACACAAACCACAAGTAAAAAATTAATCTAGTAAATTAGAAATGCATCATTCACCATTTTCTAATATAATTAATGTAAAATATGTAAAAATTAAAGATCTGAATAAATTTAAGTCAAGCAATATAATTGCTTAAATTGATGTATATAGATATAGCGTATCTTCCTGATCAGCAAACGAAAGGCCCCTTCCAGTTCACCCATTTTGAAGCTGGGTATCAGATCCATTGGGTTAGGGCAGTCAGATATGATGCTGGCCACATCACTCCCTTGTGTACCATTGGCTATGAAAATGACATGCCTTAACAATGTCAGCCCGGTGAACCGTTGGCTTGGGGGAAAACTTTGATTCTGACTATATTTAGTAGCAAATCAACATGTTTTAATGGTTGTCAGTTTTCTTTAGGAAAATAACTAAAGTACAAATGCAAAACACGATAAAAAAATCAAGGTGTCCTGCTTGCAGATTTAAAATCATGATTAAAAGCAGGGATTTAAATCAATTGACCCTGGGACTAAGAACTGCAGGAGTCAGTCATGGCAACTACAGATAGTAAATCCGTTCTTTTTCTTCAATTAAGCCTTTAACACATTTTAATATTAAAAGAAAAAGAAAAAAAAAAGTGTTGTTGCTTACCATTTGCCTTCTGTTCTCTACCAGGTTGATTCCAATAATCCCTAGGAAAGATCCAAAGCCAAGCTAAGGCAAAGAACAAACCAACAGAAACACACCAGGTCAGCTTATTTGGCAACATAAATATTGTAACATTCTTGTAAGGTGAGATGTTGGGCAGATAAACCAACTAAAACAATTTGTGAGAAACAGCAAAATATTTAGTATAAAATTATTACTGGCCAGAAATTATGTGATGCAACAGGGAACAATCAGAATGGGAATTTTCTTATATTTTAGCAGTTCCAGTGTGGCCAACTTTGCTTTCTTTATTCAAGGCAAATCTTCCCATTGGTGTCAATGTGGAGTTTGGACCAAGAAAATACAAACAGTAGTCAATGTTCAATAACAAGTAATTTTTATGTCTATTTTAAAGCAACAATAAATTATACAGAAAAATATGACACTTCACATTTGTTCTACCCATGGTTGTATTATAAAAGTATACATATTTAGGACACCTTCTTTGAAATGACATTATGAAACTGCAAGAGACAATGGCAACTTCTTCAGAAAATAGATGTTTTATTTTAATGCAAGTCCCCAAAATCCTAACATTTACTTTTTAAAAAAAATTGCAAAATATTGCAGGTCCTAAGAAAAAGATGTTTTTAAAATTGCTAAAGAGTACAGTGTTTCTCATACCGTACATCCCACAGCACACACAGCCACACCTGCGGTAGCTGCACCACAAGCAGGACGAGAGGGAGAATGAAGTTCAGCTGGAGTTACCCCTTCCTCACAGAATACATCTACACTGCAGTGGGAAGATTTGATTCAAAGCACTGGGGGACAAACTAGCACTAGCTCAGGTTGAGCTAGCATCCTAAAAATAGCAGCATAGGCATTGTGGCACTGGTCACAGCCTGGGCTAGCCATCCAAGCTCGGACCAAGCGGTGGGCAGGATTGAACTCGGGTGGTTACCCTGAGTCTCTGTCAGTCGAAACATCCACACTGCCATTTTTAGGCACTAGCTCAAGCTGAGCTAGCATAAGTCTTCCTACTTGTGCTGGGAATTACATCTCCCAGCTGCAGTGGAGAAATACCCTCAAAGTCAGAATTGCATGGGACAGCCCCCACTCCTGGGAGGAACCAGCTGGAAGCAAACAAAGAGGCAGCTGAACAATGAGGGGAGGGAGGACGGGGAAATAAGACTCAGCCATGGTTACCCCTTCCAACCAGACCCCATCTTGAACCAGACCTATACCAGGGCCCACATGAGATTGGGAAAAAAAAGAGAATTTCCTGGGATGAGCCAACCAGAGACTAGACAGCAACAAATACTGAAGCAGCTGCAACAGGAACCTCTAGAGGCTAATAAGGTCATCAAACTCTGTCCCCAGATTTTACTCTGGGCATCCTTTCCCTTCTGCTGGTTGGCTGCTTACTTCGACATGGTCACTTTACCTCATCCGCATGCCACCTTTCCTCCATGCCTTCTTTTCTTACTCCCCCACTTCAGTGTCTCCTCTCCCCACCTTTCGGTTCATCTAATCCCTTTTTAACAGCCCCTACCCCATCATGGGACGAAACAGGATGGATGGATGGATAAACAAACAAACGAATAAATAAATGCCACCAAAAAAAAAATCACGGCACAGACATTGGGGAGTTTGTAAGCCATCACAATGTTCCCACTGTTTGTACGTCAAATCCCACATCTGTCTTGTCTAATCAGATAGTAAGCTCTCTGGGGCAGGAGCCGTCTCTGTCTCCCCAGTGCCAGGCACAATGGGGCTCCCATCTCAGTGAGTCTCTAGGTCCTATTGTAATAAACAAAATAATAATTACCACCACCACACACAGCATTTACAGAAGGTGAGAGGGGATGCTGTCAGGGGTTCCTTTGGTTGGTTGTTTGGCTGGCTGATGGGGTTGTTCGTTTGTTTGTTTTTTGAACAAGCTCTGGGTCTGATCCTACAAGCTGCTTGACACAGGTGGAAGCCGGAGCCCATGCAGAGCTCCATAAACTTCAGTGGAACTCCATGTGGGCACAGAGGTCTTCCTACATGCAGTCATTTGTAGGATCAGGGCCACTAAAATTGATAATTAATATAAACTAAAGATGTAGATAAAGGGATTTTTTTCAATAATGGAATAAATTACTAAATCCCTAGTCCTATAAATATTTATGCACACAAGTAATTTTATGCAAGTTAGAAGTAGTTTTGGTAGTGTTAAGAGAACTGGGAGCTTAAGTCATTTTGCATAATATTCTTTTAAAAGACCAAAGTCACTTGAGCTAAGCCTAATGCACCTTTGGTGCCCTATCCTGTCCCACTGAAGTAAGAGCATTGTTACTGAATTCCATGGGAGCAAGCCACCACCACCCTTTTTTTAAATTCCAATTTAAATTTCTCTCTTCACAAGCAGTCTTATTTTTTCATTGCTCCATAAAAACAAACATTTAGTTTATCACATCAAGAATGAAAAACCATAATCTTACCTTACAAATGTTTGCATTTTCAGCTGCTCAGATACTTCCTAAGCTAATGCACCATAAATCTATGTATTGTATGCTGCATTCACACAGCAGGAAAAGAACAGTCAGTCAGACTTTGTGAATGAAATGTTACTAGTAAAGGAAAAATGGAACCAGAATAGGTATGTTAATACTCCTCTTAGATAATGCTTTCCGCAAGATGCTCAGCTTCTTCAGCTCTCACGGAAGTGAACGGGAGTTGAAGCTCACAATATCAGAAGCTGTAATTGTACCAATACGGGTGACATTGATGTATCACGAATGCTTATGCCCAAATGAATTTGTTAGTCTCTAAGGTGCCACAAGGACTCCTCGTTATTTTTGCTCTCTCGGCTACTACAATGATCGACCACAAATGTGCAAAATATAACCATGCTTTTACAAAATGTCGTCAGCTCTAACAGCCTTAAAACGAAATAGAGAGAAAAATTATTATTAAAAGGTTTTCATTTGCAAATCATTCTGAACATTTCTAGCTATTCTATCAGCCTATTAAATAAAAACCTATAACACTTAATTTTTAAAAAATGCTCTAGAGCAATATATTTTTTGTTTAGTACACAGACGTTTTCTCCCTAAAATAAACTAATTGCTATAATTAACTGCTTTGTGCACATGAACTTTATTAGTTATTACCCATTAAATTTCCTCTAAGGGAATGACTGCAGAAAGTTTATTCTTTTAAATGTTTTAATTTCAATTACAACTATTTAAAGACTATGCCATTGTATTAGTCTACATATTTTAATCTGATCCAAGGACAATGCATTCTTTTAAAATTTTATTCCTGGAACTAATTTTAATTCCATTTTTAAACACCACTTATTATAGATTATTACCCTAAAATTAATCCTTCCAACAAATAAATTCTCAGCATGACTTTAACATATTAGAGAATTTAGTTAGAAAGAAGAATTGTAATTTACAAATAACGATTGGCAATGCAAAATTTATACATAGTTTTAACAGATACTCATCCCTCTTCTTAAAATGTATGATTATATTATGAACAAGAGCAAATAGTACACAAAGTCATTCTGGTCCCAATTCAGCAGTGTACGTCAGCATGTGCTTAACTTTAAGCAAGTGAATGATCCATCCTATTGAAGTCAATGAAATTAAAGTCAATGCTAAACTATCTTTTGAAGTCGTTAAAAGCAGAGTATTTATTGGTACTTATATTCGTTCTTTTACTAAATGACGATTTAAAAGTCCAGTTAAGAATCAAGGTTGTGATAATGCATTAAGTGGTTTGAAAGTCATTACTAACCTACAGTAGAAAATTATGGCCCATTCTTGAAATTGAGTCCGTGTGCCTGTCCAGAAAGCTATTCAATTCAACGAGGTTCCACACAGGCACAGTGGTCAGCTCTCATGCACACGTTGCAGGATTAGGGCCTACACCTGAATTACAAACATAACAGAACTAGATCTAAACATTATGGTGGTTTTCCCTCACCAGTAACGCAAGAGGATTTGAAATTTCCCTCATCAATTGCGGTTGCTTGTGTCTATGCCATAATAGTGTACTGGTAATAACGGATAGTCTAAAACACATTTCTCTACGCACAATGATTCCTGGGTAATAGCCTCCAACGGTAACATTTTCTGTTCTTGTAGTAGCGGCAAGCCCTATGGTCAGTACGAACACAGACACTACCAGCAGAGAAACTGTCAACCAAAGCGAAGTCTTCTTTCGTTTTGCAAACTGCCCTGTTGGGGGAAACAAATATAAAATAGCTTTTCATTGCCATCTTAGCAGTACAAGTATGAAATAAAAGCTCATTCCAGCTATTTCATTTTTAACCCTTTCCCCCAACAAGGGAGACTATTTTGCAGCAGAGAGAGGATCTTAAATTATATCAAGATTAGCTGGAACTTAGTGAACTTTAATACATTGTGCACACATACAAGATGAGGTTTTACTAAGCTGAAGTGACAATAATATTTTCAGTTATCTGTGGTAAATCTTGTAATGAAGTTGTTGTTCACATCTGCAGGCCAATTCTGCAGACCTCAAACTATCCTTACCTAGGCAAAATTCCCATTTGGCTCTATATGGACAACACATAAATATGTACATTTTAAAGAAGATTAGCAGAAGCTCTGCTGTGTTATCATGAAATATTTTTTCTCTTTATATTTATCAGGTAAGCAAACCAGTTGGTATCCTCTGAAGTAAAGAAGTACAGCAGATAATGAATTTGTGATGGATTATACATATACTATTTTATTTAACAGGAACTGCTCTGTGGAATTTATTTAATCCCATTTCAATTTGGACTCAAGTACACAGGAGTAGAAGACTGCAGATAATCCTACTGTAGTCAGCCTGCTCTAAGGCATTTAACCTTATTTTTTTGTTGTTGTTTTAATTTTGAGGCAGAAGTGTATCTTTTAGTTGCAACTCTAGGTTTCTAAAATTATTATTATAGAGCTCCTGCCCATAGCTCAACAAAATTCTGTAAAAACATATTTTAAAAAAATACAATAAATCACTATAGCCATCTAAAAATACACCCTCTTAACATTCAAAATGAACAAAAGAGAAGGAGTCCACTGTGGGAAAATGTGAAAAAAAAGGAACCAGAGGGAGAAATAGCAAACAAGGAGCCTATCAAGGAACAGAAGCAATACAATGTGACCAAATAAAACTGAGGAACACAGCTCTATTTTTGAATTTCAAATCCCACACCACAGAACAGATTAAGTTTGCAAACCAATTCATCAATGATTTTTTATGAACACATATATAAAAACTGAGATATGTTTGTTGACATTCCTCAAACAGAGCCAGCAAACACGTCAAATATTTTCTTTGGTATGAAGTGTGCTCTGCTTTACTGAAGGAAACAGACAATTAGAAATTAATCCAGGTGACTCCAGTCATCTCCTCCCCAATCTGTGCCCCAGCTGATTCAGCTTTTGGCAATAACATTTAATCTATGGTGGTCCATTGGTGGTAAGGAAGGAGAGAAGCGTGGAATAACCCATGCACCGAAATACATGAGGGTATGGTCAGATCTTTCAATAGGCTGATCTACAAATCCATGACACTAAAGCTGATCCAGTATGGCCATCCTCAAGAATTCAAAAACCATGAGTCGGGTTACCACCCAAAGTCAAAAACTATCTTAAAAACAATGAGATTTTTAAAAATATTTTTGGAGGATATGGTTATCTGCCTTCTTGTTTTTGAGCTCTTAGATTTCACATTTTCAATGAAAATATAAAGCCTAGAAACTTTTTTTTAAAATGAAAGCTGAGATTCTCACATAATCCCATGATTCCAGGATCTGGGACTTTAAGAAAAACACCAAATATTGAGAGAGTTGTAGACCCAATTTAAGCATATGGCTGATCCTGTTAGAGCACTCCTCAAGTCTCAGGGGGGTGGGGGGAAAATCAAGAAAATCCATTACTTCAAGGAGCACACAGACCAGACTATTCAATCTGATGTCCAAATGTACATTGAAAATTCCCAAGGATTCTAATCCAGGAGGACTTCAACTGCATTGCTAGCACCAGTTTACCATACTCATCTATGAGGCCTACTGTGTAAACAGAACCACAAAACTTAGTAAACTTGATACAGCCCCATGGATAGAGGAAACAGCCATATGCTTGAACAAATTCATCTCCATGGTTAACTAACTCCTTCATTACAAGGAGCATGAAAATATCACAGCTATTGGCCCACATCTTTATTCCGCTTGAGGCTAGTGACCACTGAATATCTGTATAGAAACAGCCAGGCAACTTCATCCAACCACATGTCAAATTTGCATGATGGCACTTCAGAATCATCAACTGTCAGCCTTAGTCACAACAGATCAGGCATTAACCAACCAAGCCCGCTTGCAAAAGGTTTCTAAATTAGTCATTCCATCTATGCTGCTCAAGTATTTTTCAATGGAAGCCAAAGGGATTTTCTGATATTTCACCCTGAGAGTCTTCAGTAACCTCAGTGCCTTTGCTCACCATAACCTTCCACACACAGCGTCATCTTCGAACCTACACTAACAAAAAAACACTCTCTCACAAAAAGATAAACAGAAAAGGGTTCTCAGCCCCACTTCTGCCCTCCTTCCACCACCTCAGCAGCACCAAGGGGACATAATCTGGCCACAGTTGGCCGGAGGAGAATTCTCAACTATTTTAAAGAGCCAGGCACTATGCCAGTCCCCCCTTATCCCTAGAATAGGATGCATGTTGTGGTGGAAGAGGGCATGACAGGGCCAAGGAGAGAGCAGAGCTCCTATAGCCGTTCTCATCTGGCATGTGACCATTCCCCTCCTTAAGCCTCCCTCCAACTCCCTTCCAACCTCTCTCCAGTGCCGAGTGTATATTGGTGCAGAACTGGGAACTTTTATTCCCCTGCCCTCAAGCTAACACATCACATAAAAACAAAGAACAAACCAAGAGAGAAAAGAAATCTCCCACTAACCTCCATCCCAGAGACATACACACGCCAATCCTCAAGCAAACTGCCCAGATAAGGAAGAGAAGGTAAAAGGAACTAAAGAGGGAGATACACATTTTAGAAGGAATTAATTTAAATATTTATGTAAGAACTTGACAAAGCTACTAACACATGTAGATGTGAATGTGTAATGTACACAAACTACATAAGAAATACTGGTTTCAGAGTAGCAGCCGTGTTAGTCTGTATTCGCAAAAAGAAAAGGAGGACTTGTAGCACCTTAGAGACTAACCAATTTATTTGAGCATACGCTTTCGTGAGCTACAGCTCACTTCATCGGATGCATACTGTGGAAAGTGTAGAAGATCTTTTTATATACACACAAAGCATGAAAAAATACCTCCTCCCACCCCACTCTCCTGCTGGTAATAGCTTATCTAAAGTGATCACTCTCCTTACAATGTGTATGATAATCAAGGTGGGCCACTTCCAACACATACAAAGGACAAAATTAGGATAGTCACATTTTTTTTTCCTCTCCTGCTGGAAATAGCTCACCTTACCTGATCACTCTCGTTACAGTGTGTATGGTAACACCCATTGTTTCATGTTCTCTGTGTATATAAATCTCCCCACTGTATTTTCCACTGCATGCAGCTGCTGAAGTGAGCTGTAGCTCACGAAAGCTTATGCTCAAATAAATTTGTTAGTCTCTAAGGTGCCACAAGTCCTCCTTTCCTTATTACCCTGAAACAGCTCTCTTATCTTAGAAGTCTGCTACCTTTAGAGGCACATCTCTAGCAAAGAATTTTCAATGAATGCTACTGTTCAAGAACAACATTTCATTTCAAAGAAGAAAGAGAACTGGAGCACAACTCCAATGTGACCAGCATTCTTGAGGGTCAGACTAATGTTCTGAATTTTGAATCTTCATTCCAATGACACTTCAAAGCCAGCAAAATCACACCAGAAAATAAAATGAAGTCTCAATCATTTGGTCTCCTCAGAATCAGTAGTTTCCAAAAAGAACTAATATAGAAATGTTTTATGTTCAAAATGGACCTTAGTATGTAATCTACCAAACAATTTATATACTTCCTCAAAATTCTGTGCATGTTTGTAAAATTCCCAGTCATGAAAAATTACTTATAAAACTTATACTACAGACAGTTTTGAAAAATTTCTGTATAATTTTACATCAGTGAGACATGCATGCATAAGTTTAAGGCAGCACATATGGCCTTGCCTTAAACAAAAAACATGAAGACTTTTTACAATCTCAACAATACCAAGTGCCTTGATAAACACTGCAGGGAAAAGAACACTATCCAATTCACCTGCGAGACTCAGCATTTCCAATGCTCCAATGGCCTGGGCTTTAATGTATATTGGCAACTCTGGTGTTTACGGAGATCATTTAATATTGTCTTAACAGAATATTAATATTTTAAATGTACGTAATGCTTATCCTGAACTACATACACAGAGAATGTTAAACTATTTGTGCGGTTTAGAGCCTCAACTAGGTACTTTGCCTGATAAACGTTTATTCGGCTTATTTGTAAAGCAGTTTGAGATCTTCAAATGAACAGCGCTACAAGAACAAAGCTTTATTATTTCCCTTCTGCTACTATTTTACTGACAGCAGCACTGCTGCTATTTAAAAAAAAAATGTCCATAGCTTTTGTTTGCTTTTTAGAGGGCAGATACAATATGTTTGGGATTTTCTTTTAATATAGCTCCCCATTGTGGGGCAGGAAGGGTTCAGCTACAGTTACCTGCAGCCAAAAACAATTCAAAATTGTTCAGTCAGAAGTATTCCTGTGGTACTGAGGGAGAA